AAAACAACTCACTACCATCAAGTTAATTCCAACTCATAGCGACCCCTGTTGGGTTTCCAAAGCTGTAAATCTTTACAGAAGTAGATTGCTCCATCTTCCTTCTGCATAGCAATTGGTGGTTTGAACTGCTGACCTTCTGGTTAGCAGCCAAATGCCTTATCCACTATGCCACAGAGCTCATTTAGAAAGTCTACAGGACAGTTCTGTTCTGTCCTATGGAACTCAACAGCAATGGGTATGGTTTAGTTTAAAGTTAAGCCAGGAGAAAGAGGCTCTATACACCATAGGCAGTTACCCATAGTGCAAAAGGAAGCATGTATGTAGTGATTAAAAGTAAGGCAAAGGAATAAGTTCTATAATTTTAGAGGAGGGCCAGTTATATAACCTCTTTCTGCCTTACTCATCTTTTGAATGGGGCTCATAATAGCATATAACTTACATGGCTATTATGATTATAGAAGATAAGACAAGCAAAGCATTAAGCACAATGTGTTCATAAATTTTAACTATTGATTTATCACTATTATGATAAGATATATTGGATTAGGTGGCAAGAACAAAGGATCAACTCTTAAAGTCACAACCTCAGTATAGTAGGTAAAATCAGAAGGTATGGGTTCAAATCCTATTTCCGGGATCCATGAAACCACAGGTATTTATAAAAGTTTCCTTTGATACTATTTGCTCAAAATAAGAAAAAAATTAAGAAGGGGAAAAAGGAGATAAAAGAGATAACATATGTATAATATTTAGGACAGTCATTGGTACACTCATTATTATTATTAAGAGATCATATGATTCTTCACAAAACATCCCTGGTAAGTCTAACAGGAAGCAGAATCCACAGAAATATGCTGACTTTTCAGGACAATTCAAGAATAGTCCTTTGCTAAAAGAGGAACTACTAACATAAAACTGTTTTATTTTATGTCCGTAAGCATGACTTTGGAATTCAACCACCTTAAGGTAAACCCTGGCTCTGTCACCAGTAACAAACTGTTACTTTGGCTGAGTTACTCTTTCTGAATTATAGTGAAGGTGAATAACATCTAAAAGAGTAAGGATTATGAAATGGATCAAAACTTAAGGAACTTTTTTCCCAAGGAATCAAAAAAAAAAAAAAAATCTACTATAAAAATATTGAAATGAGCTAATAAAAGCTTATTTATAATATTAATGGATTACTAGTCAATCTGAATAACTGCCAGAATTTGGTATAAATCTGGTTTTAAATAACTGTGAAATTGCCTGTCACCTAAAGTGCTTGGCAAGGTTTTAAAGTTTTAACCTGTCTGAAGTTCTGATTGACATAAACCTGTTATATTGCCAGAAAACCGCATGTGTGTTTTCTGTTTCTTTCAAACACTCATTCAGTTATTGACATTGTGGAAATGCCCAGAAAGCCACATGGTCAAAGGATCATTTATCAGAAAGATCAGTGTTCAGTGGAATCAAAGCAATCTCTGAAAGATTTTTAAAGTCAAGATTTTGATTAACAATAATAAAAAAAAAAATATATTAAAAAGCAATTGATAAAATAATCTGCAAAACTCTACAGCTCTAGTTAAGCTTATGAATAACAGTTCCATGATGACCTATAGCAGAAAATGTCTACTCAATTTTCCTCAGCTTACCTCAGAGCTGCTCTCCTGCAGAGGTGAAGATTTCGATTTGGAGTGATTTTCACTAATTTCTTTTGTAGAATTATTCTCCTCCTTGGGTTCACCTGGATTAACTTCCCTTATAAACTGATGAGCAACATCCAATACACTGGATAATATTTGAGATTTTGCCTATTGAAAAATGAACAAACTATGACCTAATAGCCTAATACACCAGCCAAGTAATTACAGTACATTAATAATTTCAGTATTATATGACTCCTAAAATTAAATCTATTTAATATTGAAAAACACAAATTGATATTCATATCAACCAATTTACTAGCAACAACTACCATCCATTCAGTGGGTTTGGGCTTATACCATCCTAAGTAGTTTACAATATTATATCACTTAATCCTCAAGGCAACTCTAAAACCTAACTTTTTATGCCTGTTTTAGGGATGAAGAAAGTAAAGCTCAGAGAGTTGAAATATCTTGCCTTTGGTTGCCTGATAAGTAGGTGACAGAGCTGGGAAGTGACTCTAGGTTGTGCATAGTTCTAGTTATGCCTTTCTGCTAAGTCAGCCCCAAATGGTTATATGTGTTATTTTGTGCAAATCTTGGCTAAAAACTAAACACAGCTAATCTAGGTAAGAGTCTGAATAAGCAGTAATTAGTATTTTTTGCTAATAAAAGATCTCTAGAAAATACTTGAGGAGCTCTGGTGGCGCAGTAGGGAGCTCTGGTGGCACAGTGCCTAAGGCACTTGACTGCTAACCAGAAGGCTGGTGGTTCAAACCC